CCCAAAACCCCAAAACCCCAAAACCCCAAAACCCCAAAACCCCATTTCTTGATTTCTTAATTGAAGAAGCAAATTAAATTCAACAAATTCGTAAGAAATTAAGACTTCCTCTTAATCATGGTCAAATCTGCATTCATTGCCTTTTCAATATCAATTCCGTGATCTGATAGAGGTGGGAACTGCTTCATGAGTCCTTTATAAGCTTTCATACCATGTTTATTGATAAAGTTTCTCACTTCAGTATACAGAATGAGCTTATGGAAGACCTTTTTCGACTTCCTATCACTTAAACTATATCGAGGATCTATTTCTACAATTCCCGTAAGAAATAGAGGACACCTTTTTGGATTGGTTTCCCAATTTTTGTTATGTGCAAAAATCTTTTTCTTACTCCTAGCTTCAGATATAGGGTCTTTGTCTCAATCTTTTTCACTAAGCCCACAGAAATAACACCACATAGTAGAGCATTTCTGACAGCTGATATGGGTACAGTTATCGTCTTTTATTCCTCCATAGCCGCATTGAGGGCATGATCTAGAAGATCCTTTCATTAAGAGTTCCTCCCATTCTTCCTTTAAAATCTTATTGTCATAACAAGTGAAGTGCTTGTCCATTTGTTTTATTATTTCTTTGTATTCTGCTTTGTTTACGCGCTCGGAATCAGGAGTCTATGCGTTTGTTAAAATTAGAGGAGTAGTCAGAGTTCCCAAGGGCCTGGATCAATAGTTGTTCTTACCTTAATCTCTTCATGACATGTTTTACAGCTAGTTTTCTTGCAGCCTTTACGCTGACAGAAGAACAAAGGTATTCAGTCTTCATTTGTTTTGACAATTTCAGGGTAGCTACAATTTAGAGGGCAGATATGAGCTCTATACATGTTTGGATCCAGAGTGGCAAGTTCACTGTAACATTCGTATACTTTTAGAGCAAAAGACTGTTTTCTTTCAAGATTGCTGTAGAATAGGAATGAGAATGCACAAAAAATCCATTAAAACAACATGATTTTATGATTATCAAAATATTAAGGTGCTATTAGAAAGAAAAATAGGTCTAAAAGCCACTAGATATGAGTCTTGTTGATGGAGAAAAGGAAGCATACGATTGTGAATTAGGCTTCTTTTGATTTGTCTTGTTTCTATCAACTCTTTTCAATCAGGGCATTTTACAGGAATTTCTGCCTCTGGTCAAGCTAATATACTCTGTAGATATTCTGGCACGCAGTCATTGCAAATGTAGTGTCCTTTTGGGCATATTATACTATTTGAATGAGGTTCTGACTCTCCAAGACATATTAAGCACTCACGTAGTCTGCTCGATCTAAATGAAGCTAATTAACGACCATTAATATTAATGGTTATGCTAAATTCAAAGTTCAAATGCTAAAAAGGCTTTAAGCATTAGAGCTTTAGAGAAGAATACTGTAATGTAGAAAAGTTTTAAGTACTTGATGACTCAGAATACTGATGAATCGTTTTCAAACCCAAGGTCTGATAATTTCTCGGTATCCTCTGTGAGAAATTGTGACTGGAATATTAGAACTGGAAATTGAGGTTTGGTCAATGATTTCTTCGTGGAAATTTTTTCTCGGAGCTTCATGATAGTATCAGTTTTATTCATCTTGATATTGAACTTATCTCCTGTCATTGTCATAACTTGAATAGAGATTTTTGAACTTAACCGCATAGTTTTAAATAGCATGGAATGCTTGCGGGAGCTTGGTCTATTAGGCCTTTCATATATTCCTGTCATTTTGTATTCTGTAGTCATGCGTTCTATTTTGGAAATTGGATTTTGGCGATTAACTTTAGGCGGTCGTATCTTTTCATAGCGGCGCTCAATTGATTTAGTTACAATATCTGATTTTTTTACAAGCTGATTAGTAAGGCTTCTTGGTAAGGGCGTGGCTTCGAGATAATTTTTTGAATGCAAATACATGCTAGCTAATTAACTGATTATAAATCTCCAATAATTTTGCAATATATGTCAGAAGTATGGGGTTTTGGGGTTTTGGGGTTTTGGGGTTTTGGGG